CTATTTCGCTATATTAGAAGTATAGTTGTAGCACGAATGGGTCGGCTCGGCCGGGAAGGACTACCCTCTCACAGAATACCAGCGTAAAATAGCAGCGTAACACTGCTATGTTTCGTATGGTGAGTATTAGAGAACCGGAGACCCTTTTTACTGGAAATGAGGCATTTTATCTTAGTCCTCACGGATGAAAATGCATCTGCATTTTAATTCTTTATTGAGGGTAGATGTCTATGAGTCACAGCAACCATTTACCATCAGGTGGGCTGTATGCTCGTTTGAAACAGAAACAGAAACAGAAACTTTTTTATTCAATATAGATTATAAATAATACTTATTGAAAGTCACTCTTTTGTATAATTACCACTGGTTCGAAAAAAAACCTCTGTCCTGGGAAGAACCAGCAAGAAACCCAGCGGGACTTTTTTTTAATAACTGCAATAACATGTATGTTACACTAATTAACAACACAACAAATTAGAAATAGCTTGGTAGCGATCATCTCATTTCAAGGGGTTATTATCATCTATAAATTCTTTAATATTATAATAACCCTTTTTACACAAACTTAGTTTAATAAAGTTTTTGAACTTTGAGCAGGTCAAATTTTGTATATTTTCTGGAATTTTGTTGAAGAAGCGTATCCATCGCCCCAAGAATGAATTACTGACTCGATGGAGTCGAGTAACTGGCACTACTAACTTGTGTCTGTTCCTAGTATTTACAGAATGAATATCACTTGTTGTTGTAAAACTACTTTTATTTTTGTGTACGTACATTACATTTTCATAAATGTATTGAGAGGCCAAAGTTAATATATTAATTTCCTTAAATATTTGTCGCAGCGACTCTTTAGGCTTTAAATCATAAATTGCTCTTATGGCCCTCTTCTGTAAAACAAATATAATTTCAGTGTCAGCTGCGTGTCCCCATAGCAAAATACCATACGACATTATGCTATGGAAATAGCTAAATTAAGATAGTCTAGCTGTTTCAACACTAGTTAGACTTCTAATCTTTTTTACGGCATATGCTGCAGAACTAAGTCTTCTTGCTAGTTGATACATGGGGGCTCCATTGAAGCTTCGCGTCTAGTGTGATTCCAAGAAAAATGGTGGTATCTACAAGACTCAGTTTCTCCCCATTTAAAATTACATTAGTATTTAATTGTTTGACATTTGGAGTCATAAATTTCATACATTTCGTTTTAGTGCCATTTAAATGCAAATTATTAACATAACCAATTTACTAATTTAGATATAGCATTATTTACTTCGTCATATTTTAGCAATTGTCGACTTAATTTGAAAATTAAAGAAGTGTCATCTGCAAATAATACTATATCATGGTTTTTTCGTACTATGTAAGTCATTAATGTATACAAGAAACAGAAAGGGGCCGAGATTTGAGCCTTGAGGCACGCTCATTTGTACCATCGACCCGGAAGGATTCATACTGTTAATTACAACTTTTTGCGTTCTCTTACTTAAATATGAAATAATTAATTTAATTGCATCACTTCTTACACCGTAGTGTTGAAGTCTAGTTTAGTTTGTCCCCCTATCCTATAAAAAAATGAACACATACATCTAACTTCAAAAATGAAAGTTGCAAGCACCTTGTCTCTTCTAAGGGACAACTCACAACCTAACCATTAATTTGGATCTCCATACTTTTCATACCAGAACAGCAATGAATGCACTGCTGCAAAAGTAGGTTGGCAATATCCACTCAGATACATTTCTACATATAAAAAGAGATCTACCATCAAGTAAATGGGCAAGTAAATTACTAAAATTGTGCAATCTACGTGTTGACCCCACATTGATGATAGATAAAGTTGACAAAGGCTGTGATCGTTTACGTTCATCAAGTTAATTTGTTTAAACGGAGATGTATGAAAGTTAGAAACTGCTCCTATTATAATCTTATTTTAGTTCCTGAAATTTGTAAAAAAAAAATATTTAATTTTATTCACACTAGTCATTTTAACTCAGGTGCAATTACGCCCGGCCGCAAACCGGTCCCCTTATGTGACGCCATTTAACAAAAGAAGAGAATGGCCAGGCTTGTGGCTGTAGTTTTTTCCGCTAAGCCTTCAACAGCGCACGCGATGGTAGGTGTAAACAGAGCTATAAAATTACATACGATTACTTTATTTCGAATCTGATCTTAACTATTTTAACAGGTTTGGTAGTTGAAGCTGCAAAAGTGAAATTTTTATTGTTGTACCAATTGATATAATCGTTCGAATCTTGAAATCATTGAACCGGTAAGTATTATTTTAGATAATTTTATAGGTTTACAAACCCTATAAGAATAATAAATAAGCTGCTAAATATGGTATAGATAATAACTCTTTTATTTTGATTTAACTCCTGTGTCTCATATTAAATAACATCGTCATAATTAAAATACTTAATACTTTATGTACATATGGTATTGTTTTATTAAGATTATTTTCTTTTGATACGTTATAGCATTTTGTTTAAATTTCACCTATCAATATTTACACAAATATTAATAAAAACTCTTTAAATTAAACAAGCACCTCACTTAATATAGAAAGTTATATAAAACTGACATCGCATGTGTGTTGTAACTGCTTAAGTAAAGTTTGTATCTTTTTTATATCAATTATATTTTATTTCCCAACGTACGTAATATACACCAAAGAAAATTATCGTTTTCTCCATAGGTTTAAACAGTTATGTCTTGTAAAAAATATTTTATGTGGATGAATAACATTAAACCCAAATTCCAAACATACAATTGTGGTACTATGTTCAATCTTGTTGCTGACAAGCTTAATGTAAAAAAAATATTTAAATAATTTCAATCTTTCGAAAATTCTCTATCAATTGTATACTCTATTTTTGTATTTAGATTTTTTATTTTGATTATGCATTAATTTAAGGAGCATAGTGTGATGAATAAACTTAATGTCTTAGCAATTAACATAAGAATTCTATGTAAATCATTTGTTTACAGCTTCAATTCATCAAACAAAAAGTAAGAGCCAATGTAGCCAGCCTCCTTTGCGTAAAGTTGGTAACAGCCGTCCAAATCTTGCGATTGCCAATTACTATCGTCTGGACCAGTAGCACATTTGTTTTTTTTTTATGTTATAAAAAAAGAGATAATCGTTCATATCTGAATGTAATCGGAAGGAAGGATCAAAAATAATGCGAAAATATTTTACGCCGTATGCTGATTAAAGTCTCATAATATTTTTTCCGCTTAGTATTCAATTTTTATTCCCTTGTATTGGCTCTAGGTGGTCTCATAACCAGGCATAATGGAATGTTTAAGGCATTAATTATTCATTCACCTTAAGCGTAAAGCCCAATGGCGCATACAAATTACTTACGTAAGTTGGAAAATAAAATAAAAACTTTAATACTAAAAAATAAAACATGTAAATTCTTATATCATACAGCACTAGTTATTTTTTAGATTTATGTGCTTAACGAGCTAAACAGGTAATTTTATCGTTTAATTTACATGGGAGATTATAGATTTTTTTCCGTTTATTCATCGTTTGATTTTTTTATAAAGTTGAGCACAAGCCTCCCATCATACATCATTTATTTTATATTGGCAGTCGACAGCCTATAAAAAGGGCATTAGCCTCTAGGTAGAGAGTAATAGTGTTCTGTGGCATCGGCCGAATCTTTTATTTTTCCCACATATCTATTTTGAAATGCCAATATTATAGATATGTATAAATAAAATTGTATCTATTTTAACTGATTTTAAGTAATGTTAGTTTTGACTATAAATACAATTTAATGTGTTGTGTGATGTAAGAATGTCAGTCTGTGAAAGTTACTTTATATCACGAGGATATTGCGATGTTTGACGCAATCTGCAGCTAACATTTGGTTCTACGAAATAGCTGTATTTGCTACTTACAGGTATTTCATTATAGTAGTCTCATATCATCCATGTTACAAAAAGGTGACCCTGTAAATTATATAATATATGTATCTGGTTTAAATAGTTTAACAGGTACTTTAAGTTTTATTTCAAGAACATGTGATATTATTAAAAAAAAATTACAACGTTTTTTATCATATTCTTGCATCGTGATTCTAATTTGAGCTATATTCAAAATTTCAAATTTTCAGCACACCGGGAAGTAAGTTTAAAGTCAGTTATTAAATTCTACCCGGAACGACAGACAAAAAAGAAAGTGACTTAATAAAGATGTGGTAATATTATAACAGACTGACCATGAGCATTTCCTATAAATATTTAAATTACACTGCAATAGCCAAGTTTGGCGGACTGTGTTAATTCTAGTATCCGACGTATTACACCTTTGTTGTAGCTTCCGTTTGACGATCTGGTTATTTTACGCCTCTTACGACACCCATGGGTAGAATTATAATAGCTGTATTCTTACGCCACTTATGATTGGATGGGAACCCTCGCATATATCAACTTCTTTTTACACATTAATTATATCTCTGCAAACCCACATAGACCTCTGATATGAAGTGCACCTGTATTCATTATGTTGTGTATGTAATTTAAATAAATAGAAATAGATAAACATATTTTGTATTACACAGTACAAATTTGTAATGGAGAATAAATATTCGAATGCAAGAAAATTAAAAATACAGCCTATATCTTTATTCGTGGTGAATGGATATTATTAAGCTTGAAGTTCCAGAAAAGTTTAAATAATGTATTTAAATTTTTTGCATAAAAATACACATAGTCTAATTATGAACTAACTTTCGGAAAGCGTGTGGGAGGGAAATTCTAGCTTCTTTTTCTATGATATCGATGTATTTTGTTTTAATAGCTTTAGACCAGTTCTCGACATACTGGTTCTCCCATAAAAAATCCATTACTAAATTATGCTGAATTATTAAATAAAATATTCAATGATTAACATTGACTGTTGTTTGGTTAGATCTCTATATGTACCGTACCGTACACTAAAAAAAGTTGTTAAATTTTTTATAATATTAATTTTGCTTACAGAAAATATGACGGGCATTGTTACAGTGGTTTTAGCAGTAACGCTGGTTTCACAAGTTTACACCGTAAGTACATGTTTATTGTTTAAATTTTCCTTTCTTTTGAAAACATAAAAAACTTAGGTTTTGAATTTTTTTTTACTTTCAAACTGCCTTTGAGATTTTCTTTTACGGTCGTGGTAGAAGGTGAAGCCTGTAGAAATACTATGTTTGCAGCACGAATGAGCCGGCTCGAGCTCAGAAGGATTACGCTCGCAAAGAATACCAGCGTAAAATAGCAGAATATTGCTGTTATGATTCATTACTTAACAGTGGTAGAATTGCTGTCGCACGGATGGGCCGGGTCGAACCAGGGTGGTACCACGAGCTCACAGAATACCAGCGTGAAGTAGACGTTTACCTCTGCGTTTCGCTTGGTGAGTGCAGGTGGCCGGAGGCCCTATTTTACTGGAAATGAGGCATTCCATCTTAGTCCTCACGGGTGACAACGCATCAGCATTTTGATTTGTAATAGAGGATAGATGTAGATGTCTATGGGCCGCAGCAACCATTTACCATCAGGAGGACTGTGTGCTCGTCTGGCACCCTTATCCTATAAAAAAAAAATACTGTAATAGTTTAAGATACCCTGCATGTAAACGTGAAAAAAGTGAATAAATTTATTATTATTATGTGGGGTATTTGTATAATTTTCTCATCTGGTTGGGCTGTATACATATATAATTCTAAATGAAAATGATAAACATACATAAATATCAATAAAATAAAATAAATACATAAATAAATAAAATTCCAACCAGATACAAGCCCTCGGCAGGGGTGACTAAGCGGCCGAGGGTTAGGGCGGTATCGAGGAGCAGCGCCTTCTGCATTTGCGCTTTCCGTCCGTCACGCTGAGCGTTCCGTCACGTAGTCCCAGTCGCCTCAGAGAAGCAGATCATTTTTATCTGGGTTATCTATAAAGTTTTCTCATCTGATTGGGCTGTTTAAATATATAATTGTAAGCGAAAGATGTAATATACATGAATATAAATAAAATAAAATAAATACGTAAAAAGTACATAAATACCAGATGGGCGCCCTCGGCAGGGGAGACCAACCGGCCGAGGGGTAGGGGGAAAGGGAAAGAAACCGGCGCACGATGTGGGCGGTATCGAGAAGCACCGCCTTCTGCATTTGAGCCTGTAGTGGTCTGTAACGGAGTCCCAGTCGCCTCAGATGACACGAGAGGCTGACTGGGTTTAACCCGTTCGCAGAAACGACCACAGGAATAATTTCGGTCGACAGACCACCCCACATGTCGGTAACCTCGTGAGCCAGGTCCAGATATTTTGTGAGATCTTCTGTTTCGGCTTTCACGAGGTTCTCGTCATAAGGAATAGTAATGTCGACCAAAACTATCCTTGAATGTGCCCCATCCATCAGCACAATATCAGGCTTATTCGCAAGAATAGTTCTGTCTGTGATGATGGCCGTGGCCTTGCCGTGTAGTGGCGGTTAATAATATTCACTACCCCATATCTTCCCGTGGGTGTCGTAAAAGGCGACAAAAGGAAACAGGCAAGAGATGGGCAGCAGCATCATCCTGATAACAACAAACTTACAATAAAAAAATGCGGTTGCCAACCCGCTCGCCAAGCGTGGAAACTATGGCAAATACCCCCTATGATGAGAGTAACAAAAAAAGCCGCCGGGAACTGGGGGCCCCCAGTTCCCGGCGGCCCCGCTATTCCTGGCTACGGTGGCGACCATGGTAACGGCGAGGCAAGGGGTGCTAAGAATCTCCGGTAGAGGTTCGGTTACCACCTAAGACGACTCGACCTGGCAAAATACAACGCACGCACCCTGAGGACTGACAAGAAGATCGTGGAGATGGAAGAAGAGATAGACAAGTTACGCTGGCATATTATAGGATTATCCGAAGTCCGAAGAGAGGGAGAGGACACGGTAATCCTCGAATCCAGTAACTTGTTCTATCACCGGGAGGGCGACCATCTGTCCCAAAGAGGTGTCAGATTTATCTTCCACAATTCTCTAGTTAACAACGTTGTAAAGATTGAGAGTGTGTCGACGAGGGTTGCGTACCTTATACTCAGAGTCACCAAACGGTATTCGCTGAAGGTCATACAGGTTTACGCACCAACTTCGGCACATCCCGATGAGGAGATGGAGGAAATTTATGAGGATATCTCTAGAGCCATGCATTCCTCCAAAACCCACTATACGGTGTTAATGGGAGACTTCAATGCAAAACTAGGCACAAGAGAGAACGGTGAGCTGAAAGTAGGGAAATTTGGAATAGGGCAACGGAACCCAAGGGGCCAGCAGCTGGCCGACTTCATGGAGAAATAGGGACTCTTTATGATGAACTTTTTCTTCCAGAAGCGGCCCCACAGGAAGTGGGCCTGGTCGAGCCCCGACGGTTCGGCAAAAAATGAGATTGACTTCATTAAGACGACCAGACGACAACTGTTCAGTGATGTCTCAGTGATCGCGAGGGTGAAAACCGGCAGCGGTCACCGAATGGTTAGTGGCACACTGAACCTAAGCGTTAAGTTGGAGATGTCTCGTCTAATGAAGTCAACGCTCCGTCCCCCTCGTGCTCTGTTCCAATGTCCCGAAACCTTTCAGCTTGAGTAACAAAACCGTTTTCAGTGCCTAGAAGACTGCAATGAAGTGGACGATATAAATGACAAGCTCGTGGAAACTGTCCATGCGGTCGGAGCTAAGTTCTGCAAGACCCGCCGCAGAAGAACTCAAAACTCTCCGATCACACTCTTAATCTCATGCTTGTTAGACGGGAATTGAAGCTACATTTTTCAACAGATTTGACAGCATACAGGCATCTGAACAGACAGATCTCCAAATGCATGCGGCGGGACTTACGCAACTTCAATACAGCTTGTATTAAAGAAGCGATCGAGCGGAACCAAGGCTCCAAAGTCTTTGCCCGAGATCTGTCTGCCAGAAAGAGCCAACTTTCAAAGCTAAAGACCGAGTGTGGCAGCATCGTTTCCGGGACACCTGTGATTTTGTGTGAGATTGAGAGGTTCTATGGGCAGCTGTTCACATCATCTTTGGAGCCACACGCAAGTGTGAGTAACGAACCAAGAGTCTTATCCGACACTATTCTGAAGATATCCCGGACGTTAGAATAGCTCTCCAGCACCTTAAAAACGGCAAGTCTTCGGGCGAGGATGGAATTACAGCGGAGTTTCTGAAAGCGGGTGGGAAACCAGTACTTGAAGTCCTTCAGAAGCTATTTAATTTCATCCTCCATGGTGGCACTACTCCGGAGGCGTGGAGCAGAAGTGCGCTGGTCTTGTCTTTCAAGAAAGGCAACAACACTCTCTTGAAGAAATACAGACCGATTTACCTTCTGATCCGCGTCTACATGCTGTTTTCGAGAGTCATTACGAATCGTCTCGCACGCAGAGTTGACGACTTCCAGCCTCCCGATCAAGCCGGTTTTCGAAATGACTTTAGCACCATAGACCATATACATACCATTCGGCAAATTGTACAGAAGTCCGAGGAGTACAATCTGCCACTATGTCTGGCATATGTGGACTATGAGAAAGCCTTTGATTCCGTCGAAATTTGGGCGGTGCTGCAGTCCCTTCTGCGGTGCCAAGTGGACTGTCGGTATATCAAAGTGCTGAAGTGCTTGTACAGTAGGGCTACGATGGCTATCCGAGTACAGAAACAGAGTACGAAACCTATCCAATTGCAGAGAGGTGTAAGACAGGGTGATGTTATATCCCCGAAACGCTTCAGCGCTGCATTGGAAGACGTTTTCAAGCTTCTGGACTCGAAAAGATACGGTTTTAACATCAATGGCGAGTACATCACTCACCTTCGATTTGCCGAGGATATAGTCCTTATGGCAGAATTGCTGGTGGACCTCAGCACCATGCTCAATGACCTCAATAGTGTCTCCCAACGAATAGGTCTTAGGATGAACATGGACAAAACAAAGATCATGTTTAATGTCCATGTCACACTCATGCCGGTAGTTGTTGGGAGCACTAAGTTCAAAGTTGTTGACGAGTATGTTTACCTGGGACAAATAGTCCAACTAGGTAAGTCCAACTTCGACCGAGAGGTCAATCTACGGATTCAATTCGGCTGGGCAGCGTTCGGGAAACTACGACACATTTTCTCGTCAGACATACCTCAAAACCTTAAAACGAAATTGTACAACCAGTCCGTGTTGCCAGTGATGACTTATGGATCTGAGACGTGGTCCTTTACTGCTGACCGTATGAGGAAGCTCAAGGTCACCTAGCGAGCTATGGAGAGGGCTATGCTCGGAGTTTCTCTGCGTGATAAACTTAGAAATGAGGATATCCGCAGTAGAACCAGAGCAACCGACAAAGCCCAACGGATTAGTAAGCTGAAGTGACAGTGGGCCGGCCATATAGCTCGAAGAACCGACAACCGATGGGGAAGAAAGGTTCTTGAGTGGCAGCCTCGTACCGGTAGGCGAAGTGTAGGGCGTCCCCCCACGAGATGAAGTGACGACCTGGTAAGACATGCGTGAAGTCGATGGATGCAGGTGACTCAGGACCGTGCTTTGTGGCATTCCTTGGGGGAGGCCTATGTTCATCATTGGACATATGAAAGGCTGCAATGATGAATGATGTGATGATGGCCCGGTCCTAGCAGATTTTGGCGCGGTCATTGTCGAGTACGGCTTCTGGCAAGTACTTATAATATGGCAATTTCCGATCCATGAGACCGTATTTTAGAGCGAACTCCTGGTGTGTAATCCAGGCAAATACTCAAAGTTATAAAGCGCCGAACAACCGGAGATTACATGCCTAAGTGACTCACCGTGATAGTGACAAGCTGCTGAACAAGCTTCCGATAGTTGTTTGTCTTAATAACCTGATCCTGTATCGCACAGACAAAACCCTCCGTTTCTCCAAAGAGGTCACCAAAACGTAGCCGGTGGAGGGAGGCAGCTGTGTCTACGAAAGGCTCATGTAGAGCCTTTTAGAACCTCCCGTGGAGCTCCTTCTCCTTCCATACTGTCTCCCAAAAAAATGCGCTGTATTGCTGGGTCTTGCCATTGCTCGTTGGCTAAGGATAGAGCAGTAAGCCCTTTATCACAGGAATTGACGTCTCTGTAGAATGGATCATCCGATCTCGGTGGAAAGTAATTACGGAGGCTGCACACTTCGCGATTATGCATGGTGAGAGCGCTTAAAAAGCCGCGGCCACCATGTTTTCGCGGCAAGTACAGCCGCATTACTGACGATCTCGGATGATGCATCCAGTGGGACGTCATAATAGTGCGGATTTTTCTATCCAGAGCGTTCAGTTTGGTCTGAGTCCACCTGAGTATTCCAAAGGTACATATGAGTACCCAACCGTTATATGTGTGTTTCAAGCGTGCATAAAATACATCGCAAACTGACTATCTCATATCCGCCTCGTCGATACCTATGATCTGTGGCATACGCAGGTATCGGTATGTTTCAGCCTCGTATAGGGTTCTTATATTGATGGGCATAGATAATTATATGCCCTCAGAGTTGGCGACCCCACCTCTTTCGACATGGAGGACCGCACACTTATCCGTCCCCAGCTCCATTCTAACAGAATTGCTAAAATCACAAGTGATGTTTAGCAATTCCACAAGATGTGAGTGCCTGCAGGCGAATAACTTGAGATTATCCATATAGAAAAGGTGGGTCACTTTTGTACCTCGTTTCCGAAGCTGAAATCACCTCCCGGAACCCTCCAGTAAGATACTGAGAGGGTTCAGAGAGAGGCAGAACCAGATTGGATTCAGACAATCGCCTTGGAAGATACCCTTTCATATCCTTATGTGGTTCTCATCCGCTCCCCTAGATGACAAAGGATCGTACTCCACTGACCCATACACTGCCCGAGGCAGTCTCTAACTGTACAGTCGACCTTATACAGCTCGAGGACCCTCTTCAGCCATGTATGAGGCACCGAGTCGAATGCCTTTTTGTAGTCTATTCAGGCGGAGGAGAGGTTCCGACGGTTGGTTTTAACCACCTTGCCAATGACCGTGTCAATGAGGAGTGGTTCCTTGGTTTCATTTTCATTTCACATTCATTTTGAGCGCGCGACATCACCTGATTTGAGTTCAGCTGACGAGTGATTCATTATTATTATTATTATATGTTTAGTGACGAGAATCGTCGACCTTTTTACTGTTAATGAGGCAATCTGTTGTAGAATTCTTGGTAGACAATGCATCTACAGTGTGATGAAACACTGTTATATGTTATTACTGTCTGTGTTTGTCATGACGCCACGCTGTACGCTCCGCCGAACAGTCCACTGCGGCCGTTCTCTTAGTCTGTCTAGTTGGTTTAGCGGTCTTACGCGTGCAACCCAAAGTTTTCAGTGTTTCAATTACAAAAGTAAAGCACACAAAACAAAAAAATGTTGAAAAGAAGTTAAGCTGTTGGTACTGCTCCTGATTACTTACCAATTGTGTCGAATTAACGTCCCATCGGACTATGAGTGCGCCTTTGGTTGCCCCCACACTCGATAACGCTAGAAAATATTACCTAACATTTCCGCTTCTGAATATTTAAGTTATTCAGAAGGAAGATAAAAAATATAATGAGATTTATTACAGTAATTAATGAGATATTATTAAATGCAAGCGTAATTGCATCAAGTAATTACACATAACATGGAATAGTTTCATGGTCAGTGAGGAGAGACAAAAGGACAAAAAAGACTATAAATACATGTTATGTTAATTTGAATACCAAATCTAGCTAGCTTGATAGACATTATCCTGACCTATTCGGTAGGCGGTGCGAAAATTTTATCTGCGATTAAAGTATTCGAATATAAAATTTATTAAAACTAAACTGTAATGCCACCTATTGGGTACAGATTTAGTGACTTTATTTTTGGTTTTAAGCCAACATATATTGTGAATATGAATTCCCGTAGTACATATATAAAGAGATTGTTAATTACTTGACTACAGCATCACCTATAGGATCCTAGTATAGTTGTAAACCATTGTCTCGATAAAACAATGAATATGACCTCAATAGGTCAAGTCGTTCAGAAGTTTTACGATTACGACAAACGCACTAACGATTATATTGATAAAGATAAAGTACTAGAGTTTTGTTGTGTGGTGGAGCAGTCAGAGAATTCATCAACCCATTTCGACAAGTGGGTGGTGTCAGAGGCAACAATGAGAAAGGTTACAAAACTTCATTGACCTCCGATAGAAGACGGTATATATGTTTATTTCACTTATGTGCTGATTGTTAAATACCAAGAATAGTGTAAAGCAAAAGATGGCCCAACTAATGGCGATCGCAGTTATAGTACTGCGATCGTCATTAGTTGGGCCATCTTTTGCTTAGCTAGTCACCGAAGTTAAGCAAATTCTTAAGAATATTCTTTAAGTGGTAGAGGCAGTTTCGGGAACGAGCTACGCCATAGTTATAACCACTCCTTCATAAAAAAAATTTAATGGGTAAAATAAATTTTTATATTACCCATTAAATAAATTAAAATAAAGTAAAATTTAATATTTTGGTAAGCAGAAACACACACATATATAGTTTGATCAAAAGGTTTCAGAATAGGACACTTAACAATGAGTCATAGAAATGTGTTCTATTTTTTCGAATCTTAAATTCGTTAGTAGCCAAGGTCAGAAATAACTAAAATAAAAACTATAATACTCAATTATGTTTTTTCAAACTTTAAATTTAGCAGGAATTTGATTAGTATGCCAACTCGAACTTCGTGCAGTCATTAAATATTTATGCCGGCAAAAAATTTCAACAAAATATGTTTTTAAATAACTGCAGTGTACTTTGGCAGATAATGTTCCGTCTTATTCCACAGTGGCATACTGGTGCTCAATTTAAACGCGGCAGAACCGCTTGCAATTACGACGCTCCGAGTGGCCAACAACGGCCATAAAAAAACATAAAAGCAAGTAATCGAAGGGTATATCGACGTGTGATAATCCGTTATTTAACTGAGATTGTTCCGTTATTTGCTTGAGACAATGCAGTTTATTTTAACTCACACCTTAAAATTCAAAAAGTTTGCCGTGCGTTGGGTTCCTTTAAAATGTGAAAAGACGCCCTAAAGAAAGCAAGCAAGAGATTTCAAAGCTAATTTTAGCAATAATTAAAGAAGATTATTTTTATGCTCGTTTTGTACCCGTAGATGAAACGTAAGTACATAATTTTCACCCAAAGACGAAAAACCAAAGCAAGGTACAAAAAAAGACCGTCTTCCCCGACAGCAAAGAGATTAAAGGTGTCTGCATCCGCTGGGAAAATAATGGCATCTGCCTTCTGGAATGTGGAAAGGATAATAATGATCGACTATATAGGTAAAGGAGAAACAATAACCGGACACAATAACGCATCACTAATCAAAAAACCACGGGAAGAACTAAAGAATAAACATCGGAGAAAATTGTAATGTCCTGAATTGTAATGATAATGACCCTGCCCATGCAGGCGCTGCCATCCGAACTGCGGGGCGATGCATATTCTCCGGACCTAGCTTCTAGTCATTTTCAACTTTTTATATTTTTAGCACTTGGATAGTATAAAATTCGACGGTGACAATGAGGTGATGTGTGCTGTAAAGGCCTTTTTCGTGTCGCAGGATGAAGCTTTTTATCTAAGGAAATTAACCAACTTGCAAAACGCTGTTCAAGGTGTATTAGCTTGAAAGGCGATAACGTTGAAAAAAAAAAACAATTTACATATACTTATCCTAGAGTTTCATTACGTATCCAAAAACTTATTAATCAACCAGTATATTTAATATCCTCTGTACAAAGTAAGGGGTCGATATGTCCAACAGTGAACCTTTGCGGTCTGAAACAAATTTAATTCAAATTATCTATCAAGTAAATTATAACCTTACTGAATATAAAAGTGAGATAATTCAACTATTTTATTTATACAAATTATTTTATTCCACGAATAACTTTTATCTAATATTAATTTTTATTATGGCATTCCTTGGGGGAGGCCTATGTTCAGCAGTGGACTTGTGAAGGGCTGTAATAATGATAATGAAGATGAATAATTAAATTCTTTAGTTATATAAGCTGTAAAAACTCATGCAAGTACACAATGTTATTATATGTTTAGAAGCAATCCTTGTTATTGTCTATTAAACCACAACAAATAAATTGCACATCTAAGAGACGCTTTTTGTTCTAATGATTAATTGTTCCAATAGTTATTTCTCTTATTGTTCTTAATTTCCTTTGTCGTCCTTTGTCGCCAACTAAATATTAAACCGATTACTTTGTGTTTTTATTTGCAGCCTAATTAAAATCGTTTACCGAGACCAAGGAGATAAAACCGAATTTATTTTGTTTCCAATGAATTTAATAGAATTTAATAGAAAATCCGCTGGGAGTGGTCGCAATACAAATAGGTCGGCTCAACCGAGAAGGTTCACCAACCAGGGCGCAGCGTTGAATAGCTTCACTCACCATACGAAAACGTTGCTGTGTTTCGTATGGTAAGTGAAGAAAACCGGGATAATGAGGTATTTTGATACTTAATTGAGGGTAGAATTCCAAACCCAAACCATCAGGTGCTTTTTTGATACCCTTATCATATAAAAGTCTATTTTAATAGTATTAAATAAAAATCCAATATTTGTTAAAGCTGTAATAACAAAAATGTAAGTATTTATTTCTGTTTTTTAATTTGTTTTCAGGCGCCACAGTTGATTAGCTATAAAGATGGAAAATTGGGAGTCAACTTTGGAGGCTACCACGCTGCAGTTGGATTAGGAGGATTATTGGGTACTTTTTTGAATGTTTTAGTAAATTTAAAACAAATGTCAAAAGTTATTTCAGCTTTGTCCTCAATATACTCGTAAACTTACATATACGAGTAACAGTCCAATTGACATGCGCCTCTCTCATTTAGATTATCCATTTCATGAAGGATTATCCTTAATCGCTACACTAAACATTAAAGTCCGAGAGTTAGTACAGTGGTTTACATTAGAATTTAATTCAATAAATTTTTAAGTATTATTGATCCAGCTGTTTATTTATTTATTTTATTAAGTAAGGGTGACAAACAAGCACACAGTCCATCTGAAAATAAGTGGTAGTGAGAGCTGTTTTCCACAGACATCTAAATTTATCTTCGATTAAGTATCTAATTGCAAATGCGTTGTCACCCCAGAGGACTAAGATGGTATGCCTCGTTTCCAGTAGAAATGATCTGCTCTTTTACTTTCAACTGCATATTTATATGTAAAACACTGATTTCTAATACACAAAATATAAAATAGACACTTTGTTGGGACATACAGTCCACAGACATTGTAATAGGAATATTTGTATTTACACAAAATTCACAGCTCATTCTATCAATCTGTCAGTAATTACTTGTTGCCAGCCTTTTAAAATTCTTTGGCAACAATCTCTACTCTGTGCGACAGTTTAACCACAGACTATTTTGTGTAATAACAGTATAAACTTAAATAATGAATGTCTTATTTATATATTTGTAACACTTTTTATATAAATTTTAGCTTTCTGTATTCCTGCATATAACTATATAACCTCAAAGTATTTCTCTTCGTGTATTAACATAATATGCATAAGATCATTATTTTTATATTATTAGGTTATCTCCGACGAGGCTCATTTGTGCTTTATTTACTAAAATGTTGCTCTTTATGATCAGTTTACGGCATTTAATATACTTTGATACTAAATTACATTTTGCTGGTGTTTTAATTAATAATAATAAGGCTCTTTAGCACAATGGTTAAGCGCTTGACTGTGGTGTTGCTCGGCCGGTGGTTCGAAATCCGCCAGAACAACTCTTTTAATGGCCTACTTATTATTTTAATATTTAATTTGGATCTTGATGTTTGTTGAATGAATATACAGTATCTATGCTTAACGCCTCCACGATACAGGAGATAATTCTAGTTTTTTTAAGTCTAGTCTTCTAGTTCGGTTTGCGGTTCTAGTGATGATGATGATTTCTTTCTTATCGATTTTGATCACGACTATAACTTGAAATTACAGTCGGAAATAATCAGCCACGCTTAAGGGTGATAGGTATTATAGTCACACGAGCAGATTATATTGAACTTGCACTCTCTTCATGATACAACTGAGCCCGATGCAAAACCCATGCCTCTGCACTCTCATTCTCAAAATCTGATCTCTATACTCTGATCCTGTCAGAGTTAACTAAAATATAGTTCGAAGAGGTTGAGGTGATTACCATACAACAAAATCTGAAAACTAAAAAAATATTTTTATACAAATTTACTAATAGTCTCATTGCGATATGTATCTAACAAGGGCAATGTTTACCCGAGTACTATATAAACATCAAATCTATCGCAAAAATAAACATGTGTATATATATGTATGTTGACACAGAAAATGATAGCTATATTTTTTATCAAGCTCATTAGTGTGTGAAAAACCCGAACTAGCCGAGAAATAATAAATATAAGTTACTCTCTTGTCATTTATATGCCGAAAGCGATTGACATAGAAAAACACGGCCCTTGTTGCACAAAAACTATCCTCTGTCACTGCAACTCACACGTAACAATAACACAATAAATTAAAAATTTCACCCATATAGATACATAATCACAGTATTGTTCGATGACAGCGACAATTCAATGGTACAGATTTTTGCTTTACTTTTGTATGTCAAACATTCGATGTTTTGCAGGAATAACACATTGTGTTTAACATATTCATGAATTCGTTTTCCTTTTATTAAATCATAACGTTTAACAGTATTTCTACCAAACTTTCTAAAGTCGGAGTTTAGAACGTTTAAGGTAGTAATTTTGTTAAAATGTATGATTTATAATGCAAATACATGAATATATATAATACAATGTGTTATTTCTACAATATATATAAAATCAAAATCATTTTTTTGAAAATTTTACTGAGCTTGAAGTCCAATGTACTGCCATATTTAAATAAAGGTTTAACTTTACTATGTTTCATTAAATCAGGAAACACACTAGATTCGATACTAGCAATGAAAATAATAGCAAGTTGGGGTGCGATTGCATCTATTATTGACGCAATAACTTTAACAGAAATCGCCCATAGGTCTGCTGTTTTCTTAAAATCAATAGTTTTGAAATATATTCCAATATCACTTGATAATATTTTATGAAATGCAAATTCTTTTTTACAGACCTTTAAATTTTGCTTGAGCAATGACTCGGCAATAACAGTGGAGTAATTGAGTGACTTTGTAGTCAAGATCGGAACGTTCGTAAAATATTGTTCAAAAGCCGTTGCAACGTCTAGATCTGATTTCGTTAAATTATTGTTAAAATTCAATTGAAATTTGTGTAGTTTCAACTTGCCATTTTCACTATTGTTATACTCCAAGGCATTTTAATTTTATTAAAAGCATTCTTAATTCTGTTTCTTAAATGTAAAGACTTGGCTGTGCAACACACTCTTTTAAATATTTTGGAATATTTTTTTACATAATCTCTAAATGAAACACTATGACACTTTTTTACGTGGTAGAGGCATGATGTATATTAGTTATGTATATTATATGTATATTGTATATTAGTAGTATAGTTGTAGCACGAATGGGTTGGCTCGACCGGGGAAGGACCACGCTCTCACAGAATACTGTGTTTCGTATGGTGAGTGTAGAGAACCGGAGACTTCTATTTACTGGAAAAGAGGCATTCCATCTTAGTCCTCACGGGTGACAACGCCTCTGCGTTTTGATTCGCAAACGAGGATAAATGTAGATGTCTATGGGCCACAGCTACCACTTACCATCAGGTGGACTGTGTGCTCGTTTGTCACTAGATCCCTTAAAAAAAACTATGATTGTATAATCTTCCATTGTAAAGGTCATATATTTTTTTTGACCTATACTAGCAACCAGTACCATAAATAAAGAAAAATTATTAGAATTTAAATCTTTATTGCTATTGTACATAATTAGAATCCTTTTTTTATATAAAACTGTAACTATTGCTAGTTATTTTATCGAAAACTTACTAAATATATTGAAACGATGCGTGTGTACTCAGTAATATGACTGACGGCGTCTGTGAGTGTTTGCCTATCATCCTGTCGATGCTAATGAACTATGCGTTGTCTGTCACGCTACGTACTGACCACACTCCGTGCTAGTAAATGTGAATCGAACTTAAGAAAATCCACTTCTCCATATTGACCCGCCATCGCAAGGGGCAACAGGAAGAAAAAACAAGACAGCAGCATCTTCCTGATACCAATTCAAAATAATTGAAAATCGTGGTTGCGCCTGCCCCCCTGCAATTTGTGAAAGAAACTGTGAAAATGTTCAGCTGTGGACTTTTGATAGGCTGTAATAATGATAATGTTGATTACAATTTTTAAAAAAAAAAGCATTTCTGAGTTTCAACTTTCCATTCTGGTCCTCAAAGTTATATATTTTTATAGTCCATGCCAAAGATACAAAGTTTGATCGTTATATAACGTATTAGTGTAGTAGGAGTCATATAATTAATATGCCGCATTTTTTGTTAAAAAAACGAGATGGTTATACATTCGTCGCATACGTTTTTAATGTATGTTTATCGATTTCGTGGAAAACGGAATAATTCTTTTTTGTTCAGTATCTAGGCTAGGACCATCCCATTCAATTTGAAAAATTCATCACTAAGGGTGGTAGAGTAGAGGATGAAGGTTTTGATGTAACTATGTAGATGATATTCTTGTACCTTGAACTTGTAATATTCTTAAGTCCATTAAAGAGTGTAAATTTATTAAACGTTTAAATAAAAAAGTAGTAACTAAAATGAATTAAATGATTTCAACTTGTGAGCTTCTCTAGTCAGAGCTTTGTGTCTTCAGTACACTATGCCTTCTCAGAAGATTCAGTTGATTGACAATATCCATATTTTCCTTAATAATTACAGGCGATCGTTTATTTCTAACGTGCACTAATCTGATGAAGAAAAAATTGTGCCTCCTATATTTGTTTGAATTTAATTTCCGAACATGTGGACGCACTTTTTTAACTCTAAAATCGACTTATTATTATTTGCCAAAATTGTCAAATTTCAAATTTTGTACCTGCTATTGGAAGGGCATGAAGCTTCTAAGATATTACTTGTACATGATTGTACACAAAATGCATAAATATTTTCATTTTTATTTGAAATAATCACCACTGATTTCTTATAGGAACCGGTGCCAGTGGTGGTCTTTTTGCGGAAGCTGGCACACCTTTTGGACAGGCTGCAAGAGCTGGTTTAGGCGGCACTGTAGATTCTAATGGCGGAGCAAAAGGTAGAAACTTAATTAAATTGTACTTAAATAACTAACTAGAACGCACCTAACCTACAGAATATAAATAAATATGCCTGTAACTTATTCAAAAGAGATCTTTTTAAAATTACCTAGTAATTTAATTTAATAATATGTTTTTTAAATGTATTTTTAACAAAATGCTTATTTTCACCAAGGTGGTCTTTATGCTGGGGCAACAGCTGGCCGTAATATCCAAGCAGCAGCAGGCCTGGCAGGTGGTGTAAATGGAGAGACATCGGCTGGAAGTGGCTATGCGTCTGCTCAAGCCGGGAATCAATTTGCTACATCTAATCTGGTAGGTGATGGCAAAAGGGAAAAAGAAAAAAGAAGAAAGGAAGAAAAACAAAAGAGAAAGCAATTAAAGAAGGAGAGACACGATCAACGACAAAAATTTTGATTTATACAAAAAGAAACTCTATTTTCTTTTAACTTCGCTGTGGTAGAAAAATGTGCAAATATATATGTTAATGCACAGGCACTTTTTTAATGTTTTTTCTTATAAATTAAAATTGAATATGATACAGTAAGGAAGTGTAGAATCTTTTATTTCTGTTCATTGCAAGGTTATTAATATAGTCAATGCAAGGTAAAAACATAAAAACTGTAAGCATGCATGGAAGATATTTTAATCGCATATTATGATGAGCATGTCATTTTATAGCATCTAGCACTACATATACTTACTTATGTATATATTATTTTGCATGATATAATTGCTCAGATTAAAGTAATAGATATCAATCTGTTTTTTTTTTTTTACTTACAGGCAGGAAAAACTTCTTCATCTGAATTTGCAGTCATAAAAGAAAGTATAAAGGATGCGGAACTACACGCGGAAATTGATAAACAAATTTTGCAGAATGAATTAAAAACAGAGGTCACAAATGAAGTGAAACCTTTATCAGAAAATAGATTTCATTTTGAAACTAACAAAGAAGTAAGTAGGAAGTGGAGATTTTATAGATATTTTTTACTAAAAGCCTAATATTCTTTTTAGTGAAATTTGAATTGCTTACAATGCTGAGTGAAGAATTATTTTTAATAAACTTAATCTTTCGTGATTTATTTTATAATTCTATTTATATATATTATAAGAAGTCAAAACGCAAATTAATTGACATTTTACTAACTCTGTACATAATTTATTTATCGTATACATTTATTTATGTATTATGTATTTTAGATAAAAACATCTCTGGAAATTGAATAAAGGTCAGTTATTCATATAGTGATCATGTACATAACTCTACTTAGTTTAGAAGATTGTTTGACTCTACATCTGACATCGGACAGATTTCACTAAAAATTATTCAAAAGTGAACTGTTATAGAATCTGAATGAATTGACGAAATAAATTTATTTATTAATATTATAATAACTCTTTTAATACAATCTTTGTTTTGTTTCATTAAGTTTTTGAAATTGGCAGTGGACAAATTTTATACATTTTTTGGGATTTATTTGCAAAGTGACGAATAATGACTCAGTGAAGTCTATACTGACTATATATATATATTAACAGTGGAAGAGCCACGCGGCAGCTTTTGCTGTCGCACGGATGGGCCGTCTCGAACCGGGGTGGTACCACGACCTCACAGAATACCAGCGTGAAGTAGAGGTTTACCTCTGCGTTTCGCTTGGTGAGTGCAGGTGGCCGAAGGCCCTTTTTACTGGAAATGAGGCATTCCATCTTAGTCCTCACGGGTGACAACGCATCTGCATTTTGATTTGTAATAGAGGATACATATAGATGTCTATGGGCCGCAGCAACCACTTACCATCAGGTGGACTGTGTGCTCGTTTGTCACCCTTATCCTATAAAAAAAAACTTATACATTTCTCTATTATGTATATTGTATTTTAGATACAAACCCCACTGAAAATTGAAAAAGAAGCCAGTTACAAACCCTATAATCATCATGTACATAAATCTGCTTATGTTGGAAGTTTTGTTGACTCTACATCTGGCATTGGACTGAACTCACCACAACTAATTCAAAAGCGAATTGACATAGGGTCTGAGAACCATGGGCAAGGTGAAATTAACTCAGCTGGTCAAGTGTCTTATAAAAAGGAGGTGAATATTGGAAGGAACCCACAATTCTTTGATGATATTTTTAATGTAAGTGTGTAGTTATTATTAATACGTAGCAATCTAGGAATTACTCATATGCAAATGACTTTTAATTTATAATTTTCAGATACCTATTGCAGCGCTAACAGCTGTGAGAACATTTCTAACAAATACTGCTGCAAATACAAATATATCCATTCAGAAGTCTGGTTCAGTGCAATCAGGTGTTTATTTAAAACATAAATAGAGTTTAATTTTCAAATGTGTATATATATATTTAGGCGTAAGGTTTTTTCACTTGAAATTATTATCTTTAATTCTACAACATTATTGATCAATGCAGATAAATAATGTTTCAATTTGTGTTATCGAATAAACGGTAAAAGTTATTACAATTATTATAAAAATTATTTTATCATTTTATAAATAAATATAGGTTTTTACATAGTAAATTAAATTCAAAATGCAACATCATGAAGACTGTAATCAAATATGCGTTATGTAAAAAGGACTGCTATTCCTTAGTACCACTTAATGTTGTTTTATTTTCTACAGAAACAGATTCTATTTCACCGAAACACTTATCTTCATCATCATTAACATCTTCTGATGCGCACATCTCGGTAAAGACCCCGAGCGCATCTCAAGTACTCGATGACATAATAGCAGTAAGTTCATTAAAACGCTTAAAACATAATCATAACAAAATTTAAATATCAATAGCAAATTAATTTCTCCACTTAGTTGTTAATACCTATTGCGCATTTAGCATTCTTATATTATATCGTAAGTAATAATTTATAACATTAACACACTGCATACTAACAACACCTGGCATGTCATTATTACTAACAACGCTTCCTACTTTCAAATTAGTAATCAAGGATATCTTATTTAAATGGCGTGATCATGTGTAGTGCGTAACACTTTAGAAATGTCAATGGTAAGTTGAAACAATGTTGGAATATTTTTTTTTGATATAACTTTCGCTACTTTTAAATGTTCATATTTTTTTTTCTTATAGATACCAATTAATACACTCGGTGCAGTCAATAGTTTTTTAAACAACAACGTTCCTATAAGGAAAAGGGTAAGAAAAATTGTTGATTTAATTTTTGTACATAAATATTAAACGAATATGTAAAACTTGAACTATACTACAATTAATTCTTACAAGAAGAATTACACTTTGTTAAAAATATTCCTAAAGGTTGTTATATAGACCACATACATAGTACTTGGTCACACATTACATTGTCATTTTGTTAGGAATGCTACAATACGTACGAAGTTGGTAATATATTTGATATACATTACAACCATACAAACAAGTAATATATATAAAACACTACGTTTAGTGTACTAATACTTTTGAATTATTGTTCGAATAAGTATCACAAACTTCGAGCAAGAGACTTTGCGACAAATCCAACTCAGGGAAATTGCAACACATCTTCGCATCCAGTCCAGCTTAGAATTTTAAAACCAAAGGTACAATTGCGTGTTACCAGTGATGATTTACGTAACTGAGACGTAAGCCTTCACTACTAGCCATATAAAGAAGCTCGAAATTACTCAGTGAGATTGAAATGCGGTATGTGTTATGTGAGTATTAAGAACAAAAGTAACTGAAAACCACACTGCCGGAAAATCTAACAACCGATGGTCAATAATAGTTTCATATTCATTCAACGCAGTGATGAGCAACGGTCTTCTAGATGGAGTAACGACCTTATAAAACATGCAGGAAATTGATAGATGCAGGCATTCACATCGTACTTTGCAACTGTAATTATATGGTCTCGGCCCATTTTAACGGTTGCCTATCAAGAAGGTTGTCATGTTTATGATGACCAGTATACTTTTTCAAACTGTTTATTTTTGAAGAGAATATATTTAAGTAGCTTGTAATTTAAACTTTGTAAAATTAAAAAATATAAAATAAATTCAGTTACAGTAAAAACATAATTAAGTATTTTATCTCACTTCTCAGGTGTAATAGTATAGATAGATATACACAGGTATTAATGGGCCAGATTATCGATTAATATTTACTTTAAAAAATGTAGTATATTTAATACTAAATTTAAAAAAAAAAATTATTTCTTCATAGATAACACAAGAAGGAGAAGTAGAATCGAGTCACAAGAGACTTGGTCCTCTTGCAAGAAGAAGAGCTTTCAAAAAGATAATAACAGAAGAGAGCAGTGACAACGTGAAATCTAAAAATGAAGAGCCAAATTGAAAACTTAATATGTATTTTGGTACTTACATAGAATAAAATATATAGAAATGGAATCGCAATTAGTATTTTTTCTACATTTATTATTTGAAACCTTATATAATAAGTGACTGTGGTTTTATTAAAACTTAAAACTTAACAAATTAAAACTTACGTATATAAATTGATAAAAAAATATCATAATTTTTTTCATAAAGAAATATCATGGTGAATTTTGTGAGATTTCTGAAATGTATATCTATGGTAGTCTGATGTAGAATTTATTGTACTATTACAGTTTAATTTGCATACATGTTTAGTTTGGATGAAAATGCATAGTTATCCAAGTGACGTTATTCTATATAATGGCGGACCGCTCAAGATGACGGACTAGTTATTTTCTATGCACTCCCATGATATGGGTATCAAATAAAAGGGTTTGCTGAAGAGAATACGAAAATGAATTGCCGTCACTCTAAACCCAATGTGGTGTGGACTTCCAAAGATGGCGGACTATGTTTTTTATGTGAACCCCCATGATATGCATATCAAATGAAAGGGTTTGCTTTTTTTATAGGGTAGGGTGACAAACGAGCTGTTGCTCGTTTGTCACCCTACTACACACAGCAACCACCCACCCACCTACACACAGCAACCAATACCATCAGGTGGACTGTTGTCCACCTGATGGTATTGGTTGCTGTGACCCATGGACACCTCACACATCTATCATCAACAAAGAGTCAAAATTCAGATGCGTTGTCACCCGTGAGGACTAAGATAGAATGCCTCTTTTCCAGTAAAAAGAGTCACCGGTTCTCTACACTCACCATACGAAACACAGCAGTGTAAAGATGCTATTTTACGATGGTATTCTGTGAGAGCGTGGTCCTTCACCGGTCGAGCCAACCCATTCGTGCTATAACTATACTAGACTCCACCACTTCTATTGCTGAGAAGAATATCAATGAAATGAAGTCCGCGTTCTGCTCTTCGAAGAGAAAATGTACTATATACTGCCCGAATAAACAGTAAGAGTTCGTGTGGGATCGTGTCTTAGATAATATCGACCTACACCCTCGGCAAAGTCTAGCAGTAATGAAAAAAATTCAAAATGGCGGCAAACCAAACAAACAAGTGTCTAAACTTTTAAATAAGTTTGGCCAAGATCATATCAGAGCAGCTGATAATCTCATTTTAAGAATGAATGTTCACAACTTAAATTTTTTTTATACTTCCTATTGTGTCAAAACTATCAACTTATGGAACTCGTTTCTTTTGACTTTTAACGAAAAATCAAAATGCATTATATTTATAGGTCTCCAAAATAAAGCGGTCTGGTCTCTTATACTCTCCTTAAAATAAGCACTAATAAATTTTATGACTTTATATGGTGCAATGCAAAACTAGGCACATGAGAGAACGGTGAGCTGAAAGTAGCGAAATTTGGAATAGAGCAACGGAACCCAACGGGCCAGCAGCTGGCTGACTTCATGGAGAAAGAGGGACTCTTTATGATGAACTCTTTCTTCCAGAAGCGGCCCCACAGGAAGTGGACCTGGTCGAGCCCCGAAGTTTCAACAAAAATCTAATCTAAGTAACACAAAAAGTAGAGCCAATTATAAAAACAATGCAATGGCATCATTAAGGAAAGAAAAGGAAATACAGAAGTTTAGAGAGAGAATTGCCCTCAACATAGTAAAATTGCCGAGCTGGCAAGAATCTAAATGCATACAAATATACTATACCAAGTTAATTAACACAATAGCTGAAAGCCTACAAGAAGCCTATTCAAACAGCACCAACCCCAAATTCCATGAAATACTATCACCGCGCACAATACAACTTATAGACAGAAGGAGAATATTACATAAAACAAACTTATTAGCAAGTACATTAAAGCCGACTACGCTAAACACAGACAAAATACAATTACAAAATATCTGAAACAGTCATGAAGTACCAAAAAAGTTTACAAAGAATTAACACCAAATGAACTATGGATAGAGGGACTCAAATCATCAGGAAATACCAAACACAATCGCAGAGAGATTATAGAAGTGGCTACTAGTTTTTACAGGAATCTAAAAAGTGAAAAGCTCCCCATAAATAACTATATATCGGAAATATCTGGTGAAACAAGTGAAGTAAATGAAATAACTTAATTAGAGATACTAGAAGCGATATCCAGATTGAAGAGAGACAATAGCCCAGGGTCAGATTATGTACACAACGAAGCCCTAAAGATAGACCAAACAATATTAGCTCTACCTCTAGCAAATTTGTTCAGTTACATACTAAAAACAGCCGAGATACCATTATAATGGACTGAATTAAATATCATTCTAATCTATAAAAAAGCTGACCCCAAAGATATTTCAAACTGCAGACCTATTAGCTTACTATCATCTATCTACAAACTCTTCTCGTCAATCATCAACAACAGGATATGCACATCACTAGAACTAAACCAACCAGTAGAGCAAGCAGGCTTTAGAAAAGGGTTTTCAACAATAGACCACATTCATACACTGGAACTACTTATAGAAAAATACCAGGAAAAACGAAGACCTCTCTATATTGCCTACATTGATTATGAGAAAACATTCGATATGGTGTCACATGAAAGCATATGGGAAGCCCTCAAAAACCAAGGTGTAGAGCAACATTACCTAGAATTCATCAAGATTCTCTATTCTCTATTCTAATCTCTCACAGGTAGAGTCAAGTTAGATATCAAAGGCCCAAGTTTTCCCGTCAAAAGAGGCGTGAGACAGGGGCAGCCCTTATCTCCTAAATTATTTATAGCAGTACTAGATCATTAGGCAACTAGACTGGAAGAAATACGGTTATACCGCATTTCTTCCAGTCTAGTTAAGGTACCATAAAAGGTAAATATCTAAATCACCTCCGCTTTGCAGACGATCTAGTAATTTTAGCAGAAACGTGCTCGAAACTTCAACATATGATTGGATCTCTACATAGAGATCATCTCAAGTGAAAAAGTGGGCCTTGAAATGAACTTAGCAAAAACCATGGTGATGACTAACAGCACAGAGAAATTAATAACCGCGGGAGGGGAACCCCTGAAATATACCAATCAATACATATACTTAGGTAAACAAATAAGTTTTAACAAAAAAAACAACGAGGAGGAAATCGAAAGACGAACACATAGCACCTGGAACAAATATTGGAAACTGCGAGAGATATTCAAGAGTACTCTGCCTATATACCTACCTACTTGAAAACCAAAGTTATGAATTCATGGCTACTACCATGTCTAACATATGGCTGTCAAACATGGAAATTTACAAACAACGTTGAGGAAAAAATAAGAACTTGCCAACGAGGAATGGAGCGGAGCATGTTTAGTTTTAGAAAAATACAAAAAATAAGATATACAAAAATAATAAAAATAACAAAGTCTACAGATACTCTACAATATGCAGAAAAATTGAAGTGGGAGTGGGCCGGCCATGTAGCACGATTTCTAGATCAACGTTGGACCAAAAGAGTGACGTCATGGAAAGGACCGCTAGGCAAAAGAGGTAAAAGAAGGCCCATGAGAAGATGGGACGATGAAATTAAAAATATCGCCGGTCCACACTGGATAGAAGTAGCCCAAGACCGAGACAAGTGGCTTATTTTGGAGGAAGCCTTCACCTGTGAAGACGGGGTTCTTGCTAATAATAGTAATAGTAATAATAATTAACATTAGGATAAGCAGATTAGAGTAAGAGTAACTACCAAGAAATGAAATGTAAAAACATGCAAGAAATGAAAGGCTTTTTATTTTTCAATTTATTTATTTATTTTTATTTATTTATTTAATAAGGCTTACCAACTAAATACATATAGAAACAATTATTATGAGGTGCACTTAAAAAAATTTGTATATATGCATTTAAATTAAAGGTAAACACAACATATAATAAAAGACTTCCTTTAAGGAGAACAGTAACCTATAAAACTATCACTACAATAAAATAACAAAATTAGAACAAACAAAAAAAACCTAACTTATATAATGTACAAATGGAAAAAAGAGAGGAAGTAAAAAAAACTTTTAAAATGAAAAAATTATTTAGCTGTGTAATGTGTTAGTACCTTCCTCTTTAAAACATTTAAGCTATCAAAATGGATATCCACATCACAATTTTGAAATGTTGAATTGAATGCATTCAACAAAGATGATAAAGGTGTGTTTCTGCCATATTCATTACGACTTTTTTTAATATGAAACGGTTTGTAGTTATGTAGACGTGCACTAATTCTTGGAACAGTGATACCGATATCAAGTAAGAGAGACCGACAGTCAATTTTAAAACTTAAGAGCTTGTGCAGGAAAGTTATACTTAATACATCCTTACGCCTTTCTAAAGGTATCATATGGTAATGCTCAAGTCTTTTCTTATAGCTTTAGCTATTTTATTATTTAATAATCGTATTCTGTACAAGGTACGAGTACTGTATACTGTACTACACTTTTTTGATTCTGGCACTTATAATTATTGAGTATTTTTCAACCGAATTTTAATATTTTAAAGAACCTTGATGCTTATTTGACAACTAATTTATTTTATTAATTCAGCTTTAAAATGCATAGACACACTTAGTCGAACATCCTAGCAATATGGCGCCTTGTAATAACGATCCCATAAATTACGACGACAATATCCAATTTTCTGAGAGCATAGCCCGTAGCGGTCAGCAGATTGTAGCGCCTCATATTTTCGAACATGCAATAGGCCAAGGTGCAGTAACTTAATAGCACTTACATACACATACACTAACTTAATAGCACTTACATACATATATTAAATTAGCCCGGACATCAACAAATAGCATAAGATAAATATATAACTTACTTCGTATTTTTAAGACTTTCAGTTTAGTTTTAATATGTTTCAGGCCACGATTTAATATCAAAAGATTTTTTTATGAATATTGATTTGTATTTAGTAATTAATTGAATTTAATAGGATTTTTAAGTAAGAATTCTATATTTAAAAATAATTATT